TTGGGAACGTAATCCGAATAACGTTTGCTGTGCTCTTATCCAGAGCTCGTGTTGGCTTAGCGTATCTACATTGTGACACTTAGGAGCCATTCTTGCGAAACAGACTAATTTAACACACCGGTCCGCACATGCTAATTCACCAACAATACTAGACACAAGCAATATTAACCTAGCCCCCACAACCTCTGGCACCGCAGTCTATCGCTCCGTGGTCGGACTTGGCAACAACAGCGTACGCCTTTTCTGCATTTGTGACCTCTACTACCAGACAGCCCCTTAGGGTTCTGTAAACAATAAAACCCTCATTTTGGTGCCTTCAAATCTGTTTGTTATGCTTTAAATACCCCCACTGCACGAACCGTTACAGGTATGTGTTTCCACATCCTGTGTATATAATCAACGCATCAGACAATGGTTTATAGCGGGTCACGAACCCTGGTTGTGAAGGCTTGGCAGTTAATCGAGAATTCGAGGCACACTTTACTACTTACGTTGGTTACTTTGGTAAGCCTGGAAGCAACCAAGAGATTGTAGTTAATATACCCCTCCGGGAGACAAAATTATACCAAACTAGGTTTGCGTTAGTCAGTTGATATCTGCGGTGGTTGACGCCAACAGGGTCGTACTAGGAAGAAACACTGCTTTGGCCATCCACATGACGAAAAGTCGATCCCCAGACAAGCTGATATTCCTTCCAATTGCATATATTGATCATTTCCCCGAAACAAAAGGTTTTTGAAAGAATCCAGTCGTATAAATAATAGTTTCAGTACAAAAATAAAACAATTGCTCTTGCAATGAACAATGGGTACCCGATAAATCGGATTTTTTGTTGTTTATTTATTACAGGTATCACTGAAAGTGAGATTAAATGTCCTGGCGGCCTACATACGAATCATTGGCTATTGAGCCTTTTCAGTCACTGCAATCACGTCCACCCACGATCCTCCTCGCAGTGTCTGCAAATCAGAAACAAGGAGGATTTGGGAGAGAGAGAGTCGGTGGGGGAAGCTTCACAAATCTCCATAGAGCAGGGGGCGTGGTGGTACGTCTAGTCGCGGATTCGCGCCGTGTCAGCAACCTGCGTCCGATCCCACCCCCGGTCTTCTTAATTCTGTCTTGACGTCGGGCACAATTAAGGGGTGGGGGAGGGGGGTAGGAATAGCGATAGATGCTGAAAAAACCTGCTATAAATATAAACGGATTCATGCGCAAGTCAGCGTCGCTGCGACCATCTTGCTGTGGGGCATGCGACGATCATCGTGGGATACAACGGTTGAATTATTAGACGTGATCTCTCGTAGCGGTCGAGCTCTAGGCCCACTGCGATTCTGATTTACAAATGCTCGGTTTTTCAGTGCTGAGTTTTCTTAATTTTGTCCGAAATTAATCTGGGAACCCACACTGAACCGCTCCAGACATATCTGTAGTGGGCGTCAGCGCCATTGTGGAAACCCGTGATCGCTGACTCATCACGCCAAGGCTGCAGTCACGCTGACTGCCCGTATCCTGTCTGGTGCAACCTACTAACGCGCCCACACCGGTGCATAACCTCGCGCGGTCGAACCAGTAGCCTTCCAGGCTGCAGCCAACGTTGACCGCTCGAATTTCTGCCCCCAGACATTACTTCGGATCTAGCCCGTCTCGTGGTAGGACGTGCGGTCCGGCAGTCAAGACTTCGTCATAACTATTTTCCTTTCCATCTGTACAGAATGCACTCCTCCTTCAACTCTGGCCTTCCCAAGACTTCTCTTTCCTCTCCAAAGGAACCGGGTCTGAAAGATCGTAGCCGTTAGGGTTAAACTCAATTAGCCTTAACCCAGCTCGATATATCCTTTGAGTTTATTCCATACGACAAAAGTTGTACAGTGGAAGACCAAACTCATACAAGGTCGTGAGCAAAATTGGAGTTGGAAGTTTGGCATATATTCTGATCATTTTAATTTGATCTGTTGAATGGACTCCATACTCAGAAAGCTTTTAATTGAAGGAAATTGTTTGTTGGGTATTTATTTTGAAGGAAAACAGGCAGGATTTTTGCGAACTCGAAAGTTGCCGGATATTTTAAGAAATTTCCTGTGCTATTTAATATGACATACTATCTAATTAAAACATTTTCTAAAGAGGTAAATTTTTCAGGAAGTCAAGTTGAGCGAACTGAACGTCTTCGATTAATTTATCGTCAGGTTCATACAGTGATATAAGGGAGGGTAGAATTGACAAAGATTTTAGTAACCAATCCGTGGTAATTAGGGGGAGAGGTGTTAAGGGATCAAAGGGGTCAAATTCCAACCATAATTAGGGGCCAGAGAGTGAAAGGGGGAGAAGAAGGGGTCTGACAATTAGTTCTTGTTGCTCCGTCGTTCCTGCTCCGCGTTTTGTTGGGAAGCCTGAGGACGCAAGGTGTCATCGTCTCATGACGGCGTGGGTGGCCAGGGGATGCTCGCTCTCGCCGTCTCGTCGCCGTTTCGCGGCATGGGAACGCTTGCTGTCGCTGAATCCTACCCGTCTCGCGGCGTAAGAAGAAGCGTGTGGACAAATGTTGAGTTGGTTTTCGGCCACGGGAGCTTTAGTGCCTGTACAAAAGCCTTCCGTGGGCGTAAGATGAAGTTGGTGAGCCGTATGGTGACTGCTTCTACCGTCGAAAGTATCCACTGACGCGGGAATTTGGAATGTTTCGCCGGCACTTTATACATGGCTTGAAAAGCTCGGTTAACCTCTACCCGATGAGCACTGTCAACCAAGTGAGCCAAGGTCACATATGATATGGACTTTACCTCGTTTCCGTTTAGCCAGACAGGATAGTGTTCTCGCATGCGCTTGGATAGCCGCCTAGTTGTTCGACCAATATAACCTGCCGCACAGGAGCATGTAAAGGTGTAGATACACACTGAAGAGGTCTGGAAGGAGAATCTATCCTTTCTTTCGAGGCGAAGAAGTGGAGTGCTTGAAAATACTAATTTTTACTTAGCCGCTGGATGCATGCGCGCGATTACAGCGTTTAAGTGACGCTGTAGAAATTCATTTGCCTGACCTGTTCGAAAGGGCAATATAGTAGTCGCCGGTTATTAAGCCCACGGTTAATAGGCCCAGCCGCGTATTAAGCCCGAGGTCAGCTTGGGACGGAATTTTACATAGCAAAATCCGCCGGCTTATAAGCCCAGATCCCAGTCGCCGGCTACAAAGCCCAGTTTGCCAACAGGACGGAGTGAGCTTCTCATCTCTGTGGGTGGACATCGATGCAGATGTTTCAGTCACTGATGAAATAGGCGAGGAAGATTTTGAGCAGAACTTGGTCAATGAAATCATTCAGAAGGAAGAAGGGAAGAATGGAGGAGAAGCAAATGAGGAAGTTGCTGATGATGATGATGAGGAGGAGGAGGACGACGAAGAGCCAGTTCCCAATGCTGCACAGATGAGAGCTTCACTCTACACTCTGCAAGGCGATCTACAGGTATTAGATTTCACAAAATTTGACGATTTCTGGTGCCTGGAGAAGGACATCAAAGAG